TTAAAGGTTAAAACGACCTAATTAGTATTTAATCACTTATAAAATGAGAGATAAATAGTAATTAATAAAAATCTGAAGAAAAAAAATAATATTTTCAAAAATATTATTATTTCAGGAAAAATGTATTGGACAATGATAAATCAATCACCCGTATACGTTTCCGTTTAATAAACTAAAATTTCAAACATTTTTAAAGAACAAAGGGGGATAAAAACAATTTGAAAATTATAAAACATAATATCTTAAAAGAAAAAATTACATTATGTTTTATATTTTTAATAATATTGCGTGTGTGATAGTTAAGTGTCATGTTTAATTTTAGTTAAGACACAATTGAACTAACAAAAAACCCGTATTTTTTCTAAAAACATTGAATAAGTGGCCAAAAAAAGTGTAAAATTAAGTTGGAAATTGATTCTATTTTCAATGCAAACAATGGGGAATATTAATTAGAAAAAAATCTTAAGCAAACACCTGAAAGTTCATTTTTTTGTTAGTTATGATAATAACGGTGTAGTTTAAGGCATAATTGGTAAAATGTGTTTATTTATTTCCGTTGAAAATTTAACAGTATCTCAAGCAGAAAACACTTAGTCGGCAGAAAACATAATTAGATTCCGATGCGACGGCTGTGACACTTTTAGGGCAATTGGTTTTTTGGTTTTATTCCAGAAATACACACCATTTTGTGTCGACCATGTTTCATAAGGCATTTTTCTCGCTAAATCTGTTCTTTTTGCAGATCAAAGAAGAAAAAAGTTTTACACGCGCACCAATAGTAAAACCTATTACTGTAAACACATAATAAGATAAAATAAGCTTTAATATATGCATACACCAGTAACATGTTATTATTTAATGGTTGTTGGTTTTGTGATAGACGAAGTAAAACAAAATAAATATTTTTGTATCAGTAACCAATCTTTGAGATCAGCTGTTTTAAGGGATGAAATTAATTTAGAAAACTACAATATCATCAAGTATTATCTACTGTAAGTCAAAAGTGAAAAAGTGTTGTCCATGTTAAATATATGCAAATTTTATGCAGTAAGTCATGAGATAATTTCAGCGTCAACGAATTGTTTTACAAGATATAACAATACATGTTTAATATCTTCCTGAAATTTGTTTGTTTTTGAGATTAAAACATTTGAAATTTTTTGGAACCAGTTTTATAATGATTATTTTTTTATCTTTTTATTTTTTAAAGTAGGTATCATATGTATTCATTCAAGTACCAAATTTTAAATTATTTAATTAACTCTCAAGGGGTGGTCTTAGAAATAGCACCTTATTAAAAATTATTTAAAAATAAATAAACTTTCTTATTTTATTATTAATTATATATAATGTGTGCTAAGTTATAAAATTAGATTAAAAAAAAAAAACCTTTAAATAGACTTTTTACCAACAATAACCACTCAATTAACTTTGTAGTAATTTATATAAGATTTCATCTTGCATGGTATTTTCATGCAAACGTTATTATTTGTATGATTTAAGCGTGTAATGTACAACTTTCTAAAAAAAAAAAATGAAATTTTAAGAAAAAAATATTTACAGAATATTATTTTTTTGTGCAAGTAATCATTGTTACTTACACGATTATAATATTTATTAACCCGAATGAGTTTGTTTTCATACTACAATAGAGGTGTAAAGAAGTANTATAATATTTATTAACCCGAATAAGTTTGTTTTCATACTACAATAGAGGTGTAAAGAAGTAGATATTTTTTTTCATGTTATATAACATCATTTTAAGCTACAAAATTTTCTTATTTATTACCCATTTCTACTTTTCTGAGTTCAGTTTTTTATTGAATCGAATTTGTACCTGATATTAACAGATGTAGTTTACATTTTAACGATATGAAGGTTATGTTGTTTTTATTATCACGCACCATTTTATCATGCTCCTTCCTCCGCCTATGTATAAAAATATTCAAAACTTCTAAAATATTATTTTAAAAGTTGTCATCGATTAGTTTATTTTATAACATATAAGCTGTTAAAATATGTAAATAATCGTTTAAAAAAGTAAATTTGGTACTTTTTTAAGGGATAAGGAATAGATTTAAAAAATATTTAATCATTTTAAATCGAAAAATAAATACTAATTGAATGAGCCAAAAAATGTTCTCAAAATTTTAGAATAAATTTAGTGGTCAACTAAAAGCAGTCACCTTGTATAAAAGATTAAATAACATTGATACTAAATAAAAATTTGTTGAATTTTTTAAGTTATAAATAGAGAACTGGAAATAAATTATGTATTTCAAAATTGTTGTTATTATTTATTTTGGGCAGTTGTCATTGTCGTTAATATGACTTTTAATATTATTCTTTTACGCTCAACGTAGAAGGATTCCTTTGTGTACTGTAATATTTTTAGCTGTGCGTTATGGTAAAATAAGAACGTCATTAAACACTACCCCATTCCTCATCTTTTCTAAATCTTTAAATACTAACAACTCAAAAAGTAAAAATACAAAAATGGTTATCGATTGGTTCAAATTTATATTTTATTTATTTATATCGCCTTCGCATATATAGATTGTCATTGTTAACTGCTAGTGAGAAGTTGTTTGATTGAAAAGATAGACATATCATATTTTAAAATGTCAACTTATCTTATATTCACCATATTGTAAAAAATGTTACCGAATAATTTTGTCTTAATCTAGAAAACATATGAATTAAAATCGCTAACTTTATTAACCAAAGCGTTATTCGAATGTTTTACTCTAAAAAAATATAAAGATGCATGATAGGATAAAATAGAATTTTATTGGTATGATTGAATGATATAGCACAAAATCGTGACTTCAACGCGTTTTCATAAACCACGCTAAAAGTGAACGTTATTTAAATGAGACGTGCGCCCCCATTATACTGATTTGTTGTTAACGACAGTGCAAATTTAGGGAACCACGAGCGATATTTTTGATTTTAATTAGAACGTTAGTTCGGTATTTTTGTTGAAATTTTATCCAGAACGCATAATAGAGGGCTCGGTAATAGTAATACCAATATGACATTGTGTTATGAGGCTCAAACACTCAGAAGTGCTGAGAACAATGGAAAGTAATTTCTCTTGGTGTTCATACAGTGTATTGATCAACTGACATTTGTTTGTTCATGTAAATGCGTATCGTATTAACCAACGATTCACGCATCTATGGTCTGCTATAGTTTCTTTCGGCTCTATCAAAGTTTTCACTGTTTACCCATTGTATATGTACGATGTGTTTATATGATGTTTATGGACTCGTGCGATGCATTATGGGCATTAAAAACAATAAGTGTCCCCCTCAGGAGCACTCGACGAAAAGGAAGATTTATTTTCCTGTTGGTTACTTGTTCATAATGTGCCGGTGTATGATGTACTTTCGTTAAGTAAATCGTTGAAAACGATTAGATGACCTGCTGCGAAAAGTATGAAACAGTCTTTGAAAGGCTCTCCAGTTCATCATACGTGTACGGTGAACTGGACGCTCAAGTCATTTTTCATAATCTCACTTCAACTACACTATACGTATTGTTCAATTTCATATACTATAAGTAACATAGGCGCTATAAGTTTACACCCTCGAGCCAGGTGCACACTTTTCCGTAGGCTTTTCCGATGTACACGATATTGTATTTTACACAGGAGGCACTTACTGTGAGCTCACATTGAACGATCAAACATTATAACTTTAAAATATCCTTCAAGGTCCGCCTTCTTGACAAATAAACTAAAAATAAATATATTGCAGTTATGGTCAAATGATGGATTAATATTTTCCATTTTGTTATACTTCGTAATATTTTAGTTTTATGCTAGCAATTTTTTCTTTTTTTACTAATTTTTGTTATTTAAGTTTTGATGTTTAGACTAATTAAAACTATATATGTGTTATGAATATAATGAAAAAAATCTCTAGAGTGATATTTTATTACAAGCTTAAATGTCAATGATCTTCGCTAAGTACTTTAAGCTGCTTTTTTTTTTAATGTTTTATTATATCACAAAAGTGTTATTGTACTAGAATAAATTTGAGATCTATATTTATTTTTTAATTTTTAAGGGAAATATTTTTTTCGTAGTTTTTTTAACTCGAAAAACAATTTCATTACGATGATATTTATATGTTTTAAAATCAAATCATTTTAAGGGGTTTTCATTTTCATTTACTAAAATAAAATACACTATTAGGAATATTTTAGTGGATAAAATTTTGTTTTAGAATATTTTCGATTAATTAAAATGAGGTTTCGTGACTTAGGTATAAATATTTTACTTAATTTACTTTTTGAGAGAGCCGTAAAAAATACCAATAGAAATTTCTAATGAAATACAAAAGTTAGAAGTTAAATCTTGTAATTTTAGAGTACCATGTTCAAATGAAAAATGGTATGTTAATAAGATTCAAATGATCGTTCAATAAAAAATATTTGATTCTTTGAATAAATAATTAGCTTTTTGTCAATTTATTAATAGAAGTAAGTTAAACAAGGCAGTGAGTGTATGCTTAAAAGTTAAAGGTTGAATAAATTCATTAGTAAAATTTCATACTTATAATTTGGAATAATTTTATCTTTTAGACCACTCATTTTTTTCTCTACCTTAACTTTAAAATAAAAAAGTTTCAAGTCAAAATAATTAATTTTTTAGTAATGGTTTGTTTCAATCAGGATTATATTGTTGTAGTATAAAGTTATAATATTTAATTTAACCAACTCATTATTCATTTAAAATCATGAATAAGTTTAAAGCTTAAAAAATTCGTGAATAAATATTTTATTTATTAATCAAAAAATGTTAATACTTGAAAAACTATTTTTTAAAGTAATATTTAATGTATAATTTACAAACCATTGATAGCAGCTATAATTTATAGCTGTAATATTCACCGACATTTATTATAATAATAATTATATTGGTTTTATTATGCTTTATATTTACACTTTGAATGTGTGACAATAAGTAACTTGTGTTAAATGTATGCATTTCGGTATGTATGAATTCCTTTGAAGTATCCATTTATACCACGACTAAATTATGACTTCGAAATAATGTATAGCTACAAAAAGTCGTTCAATAGTCAAATCAGTTTTGAATTCATCGGTAAAATTCATTAGTAGCCTATGAAATATTTTTAGTATGGCACAAACAAAATATCCGGTACGTTTGTTGGGAGCCTAAGGTAATTCTTTAAAATATTGTTCATTTCTTTATACAAATTGAAAACTAATTTATTCTAATGAAATCTATTGTTATATTTTGAAGTTCATACCCATAATGAATTATGAGTTAAGTTCATAATTAAGTAACTAATTTTATTATGACTACAAGGAATAATTTGACAAAAAAATAATACTTTTTTCCAAGAACATTTAAAATTACAAACAATTATTCGCTAAATAGATTAATAATCAATTATAAATATAAAATCTGATTTTTTTTATTATTTAGTTACACGTGAGTAACTAAATATATTTAATTATTTTTATTTAAAAATCTACCTCGTGTTTGATTTCTGTAATATCTAAATGAAAAACGTGATTTTATAATTCCTTAATCCGACTTTTTAGTGTGTCCTTAATCTCTTTTTTACGTCTGATGTATGGTTTCCACGTATGAAAGATAAAAAATAGAATGACAGAAGATCGTACAACAGACCAATAGATGAGCATGTTTTTGTGCAAACGCAATGTGTGTAAAAATGAGTAAAAAAAACTTTGAAGTGATATAATGATTTCCCTTGTGTTACTTTTAGTTTGAATTGCCAGTAATATTATATCTACATATCATCTGAGACACAAGTTAGAAAGGGTTGATTAAAGTGTGGTGAAAGGCGAATGATGCAGATGGGTACGAGCACTATTTCCCTCTCTTACACGCGTTGTCGTTGTTGAGTATTTTTTATAGTTCAAAAACACCTTCTATAATATAAGTACCAAAAATATTAGCCCCATTATCTCGTTAGGGTTCAGCGGTCGGTCTAACAGCTAACTAATACCAAAACTGGACGCGACCCAAAACGTTGTCATCCGCTCTTATGATTGATATTGGGATAATACGTTGGTTTCGCGCACATTCTAAATCTAGACGTGCCATAAGGTTTCCGGTGGTTCACTGATTTAATACAACGTCAATGGTTTTTACTACACTGACACAGACACCCACGCTGTTTCATTAGAAAGACTTGTTATTTATTTGTAGATTTAGCTTGTTGAACATTTACTGTGCTCATAATGCACAAAATAATAGTAAGCACTTCTTGAATTAACACTATAAAAATTAAAATACAGTCATTCAAATTATTCATTTGTGAGTATCTCAAGTAAAAAAATTTATTTTTTAGGTGAGAATACAACGTTTATTTATATGAGAGGTAATTTCAAGTAAACCTTCTTGCTTAAACACATTTTCAGTAACGGATTAATTAAGTTCTAACTCAACCCTACTTTAAACAACTAGTATAGAAAAACAATATTACTTAATTTAGTCTTTTTGAAGATTGCATGAAAGTTTTTATCACTCATGATATTTACAACACTAAACTTATAAACTTGTCGAAAAAAAAACATTTTATGAAAATAAGTTTTGTTTTCCTAGATCAACTTTATTGAATGCAATGTATCAGTTAATAAAAAAAAGTTAAAACTATTTTTTACTGAAAACTATTTATGAAATGTTATAGTATTATAAAAAAATTAATTTTCCAGCAGTCTCTCGTATTTTGTAAATTTTAAAATCAATATTTTAATCATATTAACTTTTATAATAATATGTATACGATTTAATACGAATTGCAGTGACGTATTTAAACATTTTTTATGAGGAAATCCGCACAGCTTTTAGAATGTTAGTAGTCAGGAGAATTGCCCTTCCACTATCCCCGCCACTATACTTTTATGTCCATGTGGTGTACGGATCCCATAGAATCCCCGTAAATACACCACTGGAAACTTATATTAGAAATATCTAAAATATTGTGCATTCAAGTTAAGTTTAACCTTTAAATATCTCGCTAGTTAACTTGGAATGCGTATTTTATCAAAATATTACAAGTATCAAAAATCTATCTCAAATTTATAGACTAATTTCTATAAATTTTGCTATCGTTTCAGAAGGNGCGTATTTTATCAAAATATTACAAGTATCAAAAATATATCTCAAATTTATAGACTAATTTCTATAAATTTCGCTATCGTTTCAGAAGTAAAACTATAAAGGTCTTATCCTAAGCTTCTTGTAATATCTAAAACGAAATATAAGAGCTGTCTAAAGTTTACCAAAAAGCGATAATATTGGTTAATGTAGGTTTTGAAACGTAATTTAGAAGTTTATAATAATATTAAATCACTATTGGCCTTTTACCTTAAACCTAAAATGTATTTATTAACTTATTTAGATATAAAATTAATGAGTTATGAGATAACAACAATATGTTATACTTAAAAGCATATAATCACTAAGTGAAAATTTATTTTTGCATAGAAAAACATTTTAATTCTATCAAAGAAACTGTATTTATAAATTTCAGTCTGATGACTTATTTGTTTGAATTCAGTAAGTATGGCTTGAGTTTTTTAGATTAATTAAATTCAAGTTAAAAATTTATGTCGTCTTTATATTGCCCAGTATGGAAACCGTCAGTTTGTACTAGAACAATGTCAGTCGTAATGAAGCGTGACCTTAATAAAATCATAAATTGCCTTTTTGATAGAATAAACAACATTAAACTCTTAAATTATCAAAAATGATACNTAAACAACATTAAGCTCTTAAATTATCAAAAATGATATAAACTCTATAAAACAATCAATTATAAAGTTAAATGACTTTCAACTTTTAGGAAATTTGACGAAAATAATAATAAGTATTCTAATTGTAAACTTAGAGATAAAAGAAATTTCAATTAAATGAACGCAATCTATTATTTTATACATAAAATAATTTTATGTACAAATTTATGTTTAAAAAATATCAAAGCCTAATAAAATAACCGAGAAACTAACTTTATGTATTCATTGACAAAATTGTTATTGGATTTAAAACTTATTAACTACTGAATAATATATATTATTTAATAACATGAAACAAATTATATTACAAGTTGTTTGCTTTATAATTTAAATAAAAATAATTATGGACAAAATATAATATGATATTTCAAAATTGGTAGTCGGCTAACACTCTTCACTTAATCGTATTGAAATTATGATAGTTCCCCTTTCAATAGTTATGAGTTTTTCATCAAAATAACTGGAAAAAATCTTTTTTTTTTTATAATCAAACATCGTGTTGATTATTATAGTTATTTAAATAAATAAAACTGAATACATTAAATTTTTATAAGAATTATTATTTAACAAAAAAATTATAATCGATATACCAAATTGAAAATATAAATTTTCATTTTTTATTACTTTAAGTATCTTATTAATTAGTTATTACGATTTATAATTAATTTGTTTTAATTTGAATTTATTAGTAAAATTACTAATCAATTTTCAAGTGTCCATGAATAAAAGTCAAATTCTTTACACTCGCTTTTATATTATTGGCATACTTCCACGACTATTAACGATATGAAATAACCCACTTGTACTCTGAATTTGACATTCGATTAACATTTCAACTCTTATTCTATATCGTTATGGCATTTATTACCGTAATCAGATTTTAGTTTTTTAGATAAATTGGGGTCTTTTACAGTACATTACAGAAAAATGTACACCGTAACTTCTTTTTACTTTTGTGAACCAATATGACGCTAAAAGCAACGGACTTGTTTTTTTTGACATAGACTTATTTTGGAACGGATTTGGCGAGACAACGGTCTTTGGAAATGTTTTCGTTGTAAATCCTCTTTAAAAAAAATGCTGTGTACGACTTGAAAAACTGAGTATTATTTTTTTCGGCTTTAGTATCCATCACACAATGTCTCTATATTCAACAACACGTTCCCAAGTCATTCGTAACTCAGATAAGGTTGTTAAATGTTTTGACGATCAAATACAAGTGGACGGTGGTGCTTGACAGTTTGTTATTTGTTACTGACGGGTTTTCAAAGATAATTCAGAACGAGACATGGCATGAGGAAAATAGTTCGAACCTTTCGAGGATGATACTGAAATCTTAATTGCGGTTGTCATCAAAATTGAGTATTTTTAAGTGCGTTTATAAGTAATAACCATAACGTCAACCGTTCATCGTGGAAGTCGTTTGCACAGCGTGTTTATAGTATACAAATGGAAATTCAGAAATTACTATAAACACATTGAACTTCTTTCGAAAGAAGATCAAAACCGACTGAAAATTAGATGTAACTGTTACTACACATTATATTAATTATGAACATAACACCTGAGATTACGTTAACACTAGATAAACGGTAATTAAGTAGCCATTATCAACTAGTACAAAATTGAAATCGCCACCTTAACAACTTTCCTTTAACTTGCTTGTTCAATTGTTGTATTATAATCACGATTTGGAGAAAGAATTAATTAAAACCACCCGTTTTGAACGTAGTAATATTTTTTCAATGTATTATTTATGAACTAACTACTGCTGTATCCTTACATTGACAATAACACACTATGTAATTAGACGTTTTTTCAATTAGATAATGTTTAATCTATATCGTGTAATGTGATAAAAGTAGATAAATGGATTTAAATGTATTTAATAATATAATATACACTAAGTTTTATCCAAAATAAATATTATAAAAATACAAAATTCATACACGACTAGTGTTATCAATTTTGAAAAAAATATTTTGATGAAATAATTACTTTATTTTGTTAATTAATACATTGTATGATTATTAAAAGATTATAAATAGTACTAACTATAATTTATTAAATATAAATAAATTAATCATATCGTTGATAGTTGATTTATTTTGTAGTAAAAATATAAACTATTTCGAATATCTTAACTGTTAACTTCATTTTGCATTTCATAAACTAATAATTTGATTTTAACTTATTCATTTATTTTAAATCTTATAGCGATTTATTTTTTGTTTAATCAATTCATAATTTAAAATAAAAACTTGAAGTATATAGAGTTTTAAGGTAAAATAAATATATATATATATATATAAATATTGTTATACAAAGTATTTACCGAAAACTACTTAAAACAGACGAGTCTATGTAAAAATGTAATAATAGTAGTAATAAATAAATAGTAATAAAATGACTAAAAAGGCATTTAGAATAATGTGATATTGTTTTCAGTTATCTCTATATAAATGGTTATCATTTTACATTAAGTCTTTCAAAAGAGATACGGTAATTTGACTTTTATCAAGTGTTTAAAAATAATTTACGTCGATTTTCTTTTTATGTTCGAACTATACAAAAATAACGGAAATGAAAACTAAATTATATGACTAAATTTTTGTAATTTCAACATAAATAATATTAAATTAAATTACCTTGGCAATTATAATTTGTTTTGAAATTATTAAGGTTGTGTTATGCAATTTTATATTATTAAGTTATTTATTGGCTAGACAAATAAGATAATAAAAGATAACATTAATTCATTTTACGAGTAATTTTTATTATTCCTTACACCGACCCATTTAAAGTGTAAATCAAATAATTTTATATTATTATTATTTCTACATATGTGTATAACAGTATTGAAAACATATAGGTAAACCGATTTGGCCATTGGGTCAAATTTTATAGTCGACCGTCGCCATTACGATAGAGTTACAGCATCTCCCCTTTTTGGCTAACAGACTAAAAACTTTTGCTCATAATTTGTGTTTAACCGTTGTTTGTTGCGCCGTAGAAGTTTTTTCCCATAACATTTATCTATCTCTTCAAAATGTTTTCTTTTTATACTCCGATATTGAAAACGATTTTTTGTTTGTTTGTGATATTGTTCATTACAGAATATCTGTGACGTTATAAATGCGTTTAGCTTAGTTATATAATTCATATTTGTATAAACGTTCCTTTCCATCGAGAGCATTGATATGATAATTTGCTACTACATCAAATAATATATTTCTACAAGTTAAAAATAAAAAACACATAATTTAATATATAGGTACAGTGTCTGAATTTTACACTAACAAAAATACGTTAAGTATATAAATTAATATTATTAACAATAATTTTTAGGTAAAAGGTTAAGTAAGATTATAGAAGTTAAGCCTTCATTAATATAATATAGTTTTCAATAAGACAAATGAATCAAAAATCTATTATAGAGTTGAAAATTCTCCCTCATTATTATGTATATTTACATTTGTATGATATAAATATTATTATTTGCTATTTATAATAAATAAATGATATTGGATAACCCGGGGGAAGTAATGTTTTACAACTAGTTCCCTTAGGTTGTTTTAAAATGCATTTCGGGATAAAAAGGGCTAAGAATACTCAGAAAAGTAAATTGGGTGGTAAAAATCAATTATATGATCTTTATGGACTTAAAAAAAGTTTTCTATAGATAAAATTGGACAAGTATTTAAAAAAAAACGTATTCTGAATAATATATACGAAGAACAAGACGCCACAATCAATATCAACAACTGGTAGAATTCAAAGAGGCATAAGATAAGCAATTAAAAAACAATTAACAAAATAAAGTTTTAGTTAGCTCAGAAAGGAATTGGAGTGAAAATAGGAGGAATATTAATACCAATGATTCGTTTTACTAATAATATTGCCGTTCTTGTTACAATTGAAGAAGTCTATCAAGCAGCTTTATATAGAAATAACATCACATTAAAGAATACAATCTATAAAAAATGCAATCAAACTAAAACTCTAGTATTCAAGAAATAACACCATTGATAAATATATCATTAGAAAGTAATGAAATTTTCCTAATAAACTATTTCAAGTTTTTAAGTGGCAATATAGCAGACGATGGGAAATCAAACAATTAGTTAATAATTATATCCATATAACACATAAAATTTTTTATATTTTACGGTATCATTGATTTTTGATCAGAAATTCAATTTTGAATAAATTCATATGTTCTTTTTCGGTGTGATTGAATTAGTACTTCGTGGCGAATATCCAAATAAATTTTACAAATAATCGTTTTACTATTGTGGTTAAACATGAAGATTTACGAGAACTGTAATTTATAGCCGACAGTTAAACTGTTACATCGATAAACTGCAATGAAAGTGTAAATTAAACAAATGGCTATTTTCCTGATACAGAAACAATGTTTTCTCTTCATTTTCTCTTATCATATTTAAAGAGTTACTAAAACAGTTCAATATCAGTTTTGTCGTGATGTATTTCCAATATAAACTTGTACAATTATTCATTTTATTTGTTTGTACTTTGAGAATTATGTGATGAAATGTTAACTTTTCCAATATAAGATAGTTGAGAAATTTTCTGAGTGATCTAATTAAAATTTTTTTTTACTTCTTTAAACATATGATCATTGTGTTTGATTTGATATTTACGTACCTTATTAATATATATATAAACGTTCGATAGATAACAATATAATTTTATTATTAGAATAACACTCAATAGAAATTATATAAATTTAAAATAGTCGTTAGATGACTATAACACTCAAAATTTGAGATTAATCCATTCAAGAGATAATAAATATTACAATATTTAAATACATGATTCAACAGGAAAATCTTAAATTACGCCTTTGAAATGTTTAAAGTAAATATTTACCTCATTTCTAAAGTTTTTTTCATTATATTTATAAAAAACAAAATAGTTTAGATTATTATTT